CTATCTCAGCTTGCTTATAATGTAAAACAAATTTGTGGTTTGTGCTTCTCTTGTAACCTAAACATACGGTGTTAATCCCGCATGACCCTTCCTTGCACTTGACCCAGAGAACACGTGTACGTGTATGTGTACGTGCATGTGTGTGTGTGTGTGTGTGCTATGTATTTAGCATATCACACACTGCAAGCAGTGGGTATTTACTGGAAGCAGTGAGATAGTTATCCCATTTCTGTTGCAAACAATAGGTGAGATTAAATTGATAACATCCTTGTCTGTGCTATTCTAGGTAAGAAAGCACAAAATCCTGAGAAGATAAGGCTCCACTTTTCCTTCCCTATCTTATGCTGAATATACTGTTTCAGTTAAAAAAAAAAAAAAAAAAGCAAGGCTTTGGGTCAAGTGCAGTTATGGGAGAAATCTGAAGAAACAGGGTCTAAGAGCAGCTCCATTCCCTCTTTGATAGAATGGATAATGAATAGAAGAATCAGGCTGTTTTTCTTCAGGCACTACTGTAATGTAGCATCCTATACTGTTTCATTCATCCACAGAGATCTATCCCATTTCTAAATGTTTACCTAATATAAATACAATGTAGTATTTATATGCAACAGAAAGTAACATGATTATATATTTTATTGTTCTTCATGGTTTTGTGAACCTGTTTCATGTTTCAAATATAAGTACCTTAGAAGGAAGAATTCTGTCTTGCTCTTATTTTAGCTTCTCTTGTGTTTAGCACAGTAACTTGCTGACAGTAACTAGTCAGTAAGCATTACATAATGGATTAATTTGATGTATCCCATACCTTTAAATTCTTTAGATATTATATTAGTCAGGACTTTTTTGATTGCACATGGTAATACTCCAAATCAATCTGACTTGATTTAAAGTAACTTTTTTTCACCTAGCTGAAGTTGTAGGTGTAGTTTGACTTAGGCAGAACTGGATCTACACACTTAGATAATATTAATAGCAATACATCTTTGTCCAGCTCTCCATTTTGCTCCTCTGGGTTAGATATAAGGAATTTTGTGACCATGAACTACAAAGGCAGAAACTGCAGGCTTTCATCTCAGCAGCCTGCCAGTCCAACAGGAAGTTGAAACACCAAAGCTGCCACATGTAGGCCCCAAATGGGACTTTTTAAGACTTATTTTTATGTTTACTTATGTGTATATATGCGCTTCTGTGTGTGGGTATGTGCAATGTGAGTGCAGGTACCCATGGAGTCCAGAAAAGGATGCCATATCCCTTAGAGTTGGAGTTACAAGCAGTTGTGAGCTGCCCAAAGTGGGTACTGGAAACCAAACTCAGGTCCTCTGCAAGAGCAGTATGTACTCTTAACAACTGAGCCACCTCTCCAGCACTGGTCCCCAAATGGCTTTAAAATAGCAGTTTCATAGCTTTTAACCTAAAGTTCCAGAATTGGTCTCAATACAAAGTTCATTGGTCCAGCTTAAATCTCATACCATCATTAAACCAATCACTGTGACCACTGGAATGCAGCATTCTTATTGGTGAAACCTGAGTTATGGGCCCACATGCAAAGCCATGTGGGAAAATTAAAAGAAGACAGATTTCTCAATGGGAACTTAAGGTTCTATTATCAGAGAGGAGGAAGTAACAACTGAACCAATGAGTGAAACACTGCATGTTCTTGATGTGATACGCCAAACATGGAAAATTACCGTAAAAGTAATAAAAGAAACTTCAGGGATCCTCACTTGCATAGGCTTCTTCTGAAACCATGTGTATAATTTTGTATTTAAATTGTATAGTTCTGTTTTCTTTAAAAAGGGGGAGTAGGGATCCCTAAACTCTAAAAGTTTCAAGATGAACGAACCTGTATCTACCCTATCAAAAAATTATAAAATTAGTAAATAAATATTCCAAATATGTTGCATTTCTTGGTTTTAGTAGAATTAAATCCTTTATTATATGTTATTCATTAAATTTCTGATAATAACTTAATATCATTTCTTTGGAAACTACCAAAAAGAACTTTAATCTTCCCAGCCTCTAGAATGCAACATCTCAATGCATTTTGCTCTGCCTCTATCACAGACCAGTCAGATAAGAAAACTTTCCATTTCACTTCCTTGATTGTACTTCCTTTGACTTCAAGACACTGGCTCCAGTGTCTCCTTCCACCAAAGGCCAGACCGTTTCATGCCTATATCCTTCTGTGGTTCTGCAAAGCACCAATTAGAAGAAATGTACCAATTTCTCATATTCACTCTAAACTGATATCTCTGACATTCTTTTTTTGTTAATCCCAAATCAAAATGAATTATCTTGAGTTACCATAGAGAAAACATGTAATATAAAATATATCTTATATTGAGGTGAATTTAGGGTGTGACTTTTGTCAAAGCCTTGTGACCTGTAGGGAACCCATCATCAGAGATGTGCCAAAATTGGGTTTGGATAACTAGAAAATGTGCCCATGTTCCTGAGCTTTCCACTGCACTATATCCTTCTGCTTAGCAGTCAGACAGCCCCAGGAATGTAAATTCATACTGTTTTGAGTGGGGGAAGGTGAGGGAACTAAGCCTGTCTGCTGCTATTCTGATTACAGCATTTGTCACTGGGAGAGACAGCTCTGGAATTGATGCTATTTTCCTCTTCTTTCATGAAAACGGCTTGGACTATGTATTAGGGAAAGGCAATGGGCTCCTACAAGTGACAATTTCTGCTTAATCCCCAGCAGGTGTGCAAATCGGTACTTCAAATATGGTACTGCGTTTTACCCATTTATTCTTCATTTTCTCCCTTTCCCACCTCCTACATGGAAACGGGGTAGTGTAATTGTGTTCTTTTTTCTTAATTTGTTGAAAATGTCTCTAGGAGTGGGGAGGGGGAACCAGATGGTTGTAGCTGGAGTAGAAACTTACTACTGAGGAGCTTTGAGATCTCAAATATGGTGGAAAGCACTGTTTTCTTGCAGAGGAAGGAGGTGAAATAACAGAAGAGTTGCACAAGATTTCCAGAAGACTGAGTCCCAATGACCTGCTCTCTGTTCTCTCTCCACATACCTGCAAAAGGCAGTCCCTGCTCCTTTCATTCTCCCAAGTCATGTCAACTACGGGCTACAGTAGATTCTCCTGAAAGTTGAAGGTGGAGGAGGTAGGGAATAAACTAATGATAACGAGTGGGGTTTACTTCAAGAATGTATGAGTATCATCCAGGTCTTTTTAGAGTTCCTTAGTCCTCTGTTGCCTTTCTCCTTACCAAGCTCACAACCTTACCACCCACCAAACCCCAAGGACATGATATATCTATTCCTAAGCTTTCTTCCTTCCACACATGAAGCAAAGAGCAAACTGAAACTTCAGAAAAGAGAAAGCATCCAGGGGCTAGCCAAAGTTTAGCTTCTTATCTTATAGTTGGGAAGAGACAGTCAACAAGAGAGTTCTTTCGGACTGGTCTATCTAGAAGGAAGCTGTGCTGGGTAGCTTTAGTGTCAACTTGACACACCTGGGTTGAGGGAGCCTCAACTGAGGAATTGTCTTCATTGGACTGGCCTGTGGCCGTGTCTGTGGAGCACCTTCTTGATTGTTGACTGATGTGGGAGGGCCTAGCCCACTGTGGGTGGTGCCATCCCTGGGAAGGTGGGCCTGTGTTACTTAAGAAAGCAGGCTGAGCAGGGGCCAGGGGAGCAAGCCAGTAAGCAGCATTCCTCCATGGCCTGTGCTCCAGCTCCTGCCTCCAGGTTCCTGCCCTGAGTTCCTACCTTCCCTGATGAACCGTGACCCAGGAGATGTAAGCCAAATAAACCCTCTCCTTCCCAGGTTAGTATTGGTCAGAATATTTTGTCACAGCAATGAAGAAACAAACTAGGACAGAAATGATACACAAAAGAGGGAAGGGGGGACTGGTGCCTCCCTCTCTAGTCTCTGATGAAGAAAACTGCCTTCTGTAGAATAATATGCAAATGCACCTGGGTATTCATTCAGATATCCACCTGTTAGGTTTTAGTTTGCCTCAAACCATGATGTCTTTTCCAGCATCACTCCATCCCTCTGAAACTAATGAAGCATCCTGCTATTCAATTCATTTTGTCACTAAGTACCTGGAATTTACCTCAGACTCAACAGATGTAAGAGCTTAGTCCCACAAATCTGTTCTCCCTTTAGAGGCCCTTAGAAAGTTGGTCAATACGGTGCCTACTCTTTTGTCCGAGGAGGCTATAAATTCAGAGATTCTCACAAATCTCCCTCTTAGGTTTGAAGTTTTGCTACAAGGATTCACAGAACTCAGGATTTTGGCAGGTTTTTTTTTTTTTTTTTTTCAGGATTTTATTCAGTTATTACTTTTTTTTTTTTTTTTAAATCCAGGAACAGTCAAATAGAAAAGAATCACATTTGTGGCCAGCAAGTTGGCTCAGCAGGTAAAGATACCAGCTACCATGCCTGACAACCTGAGTACTATCTCTAGTAGAAGGAGAGAATGAACTGACTCCTGCAAGTTGTCCTCCAATGTCCACATGCTGTACTCACAAGTTCCCATCCCAACGCGACACAATAAATAAATAAATAAATAAATAAATAAATAAATAATAAAAAAGTCATTTTTAATTAGAGGAAAGACCCAGGACAAGGTATCAGGTGGGGGTGCTGCTCTATGTCCTTGCTAGGTATGTTATCTTCTCAGCACCTAGATATCTTCCCCAATCTTCAAGCTCCCCCAGTGCCATCCTGAGTGAGGGGTTTCTATTCAGGTTTCTTTATGCAGATATGATTGAGTAAAGTAGTGGTCATTGATGAAGAACTCAGCCCCTTTCCCTTCCCTGGGAGGATCAGGCCTGAAAGTTCCAAACTGCTAACTAAGTTTGGTCATCTGGCAACAAGATATTCCCACCATCATTACACTCAGGCAATCCAAGGGTTCTAGGAGCTCTGTCAGGATAAAAAGACAAAGGGCAAATACGTTTTTTCATTATAGCACACCACCTCCATCTATTTATCTGACTATTATAAAGAAATCTAGAGTTTCTCCCAACCCCCCTTATGGTGTTTAATCCCTGGCTATTTTTGGCGTGTGCACCAGATCACCTAAGACAATGGCCAGAGACCTCTGATTTGTTCACAGATTGTTCAGGACATGACTAGTTCTCCTGGAAACTAGTTTATCTCTCTTTTCCTGGTAGCAAGCATTCAGGGCATTACAATTGAATGACCTCATCATTCTTTCTTCTTTCCAGGAGGACTTTACAAAGTTGGAGGTCAGGGTGAACCTACCAGCAGAGGACCTGACCCCAACCCCTTTCTGCATGCATCCACACCTCTTCCCAGGTCACTTCCATAGGCATCTGACTTGCTGACCTCCCATAAAGGAGAAAGGGCCATTTTGAGTGTCTGGGGAGGTCTACTGGCTCTTGCTTCAAGTCTCTACAGATAAACTTGGAGATAAACTAGAGTCTGGGTTCCCAGACTCTACAACCCAACCAGTTGAAGTGGGGTGGGGATGAGGATCAACTTAAGTGAATACCTCTGTACTTTCTCCTTACTGCCCCTCCCAGGAACAGACAAAACAAAACAAGTCTAGGAAGCAAGTCTTTCCTTGAGTGATGTCAGGAGATCTTCCTTTGGAAGCAAAAACCTCACTTCCTCCTATGGACCCTGAAAGTCTCCTCTCAGAAGATGAGGGCCTCAAGCCCGCATTGGTTTACTTGAAATCTGTGTTTAGGTCCCAGCATGTGGCAATATGCTCCACTCTGATGACACTTTTCGTTTCTAATAATAGAGCAGATGAAGTAATATTGCAATTGATGTTCCCGGGAATTTGATTGGATAAGTACATAAACTGTGGCGGGGGAAGGAGGTTGTATGGACGGATCACATTAGTATTCCTGTCCTATCAATGTGCCGGGCCGCGACCAACGTCAGCCGGACCGACTCCGTAAGTCTGCCAGTCCCGCCACGGATTCATCTGCGACCCTTAAACAGACCAGCGGGTAGAGACTGGGATCAAAGCAGCTGATTACAGCCTATTACAGCCTATTGCTGTACGGCCTGGAGACCGTAGAGGGAGAGGAAAGGGGAACTGCACGCCGCTGCGGGAAGACACTGAAGCAAGAGCGACACCCCCTACCGCCCCGCACCTTGCAGCGCAGGCTTTGAAAGCTGCTCCCCCATCTGAATGGAAACTCGGAACCGCCCGGCAGCGCGTTCCTTCTCCCTCAGTTTTGCAATCCATGCGGAGAGGAAGGCGGTGCGAGCCGGCTGCAGCATCCAGCTCCCGGGACAGGGCCGGCGATGCTGCTGAGCAGAACTTGATTGCTCCTCTTCCTCGCTGCTAGTGGAAGCGATGCACCGCACAGCCAGCTCTTCCCCGGCTCTCCTTCAAGCTGAAGGTTACCCACCCGCTCAGCCAGCCCCAACCTTGTGAGCCGCGCGCGTCGGGTCCCGGCTCCCGCTGCTTGGCGGCGGCGTGCAGGGCAACCAACTGGCCGCCCGCGCCGGGGCGCACTGCACCAGCAGCTTCGGCTTGGTGGATGTGTATGCATGAGTTCTGCACCGAATGGGCGCAAAAAGCGCCCCAGCCGGTCCACCCGCTCCTCGATCTTCCAGATCAGCAAGCCTCCGCTGCAGAGCGGGGATTGGGAGCGCAGGGGCAGTGGCTCCGAAAGCGCCCACAAAACCCAAAGAGCCCTGGACGACTGCAAGATGGTGGGTGAAAACTGTGTCTTCTTTTTTTT